GTTTGCTAATTTATACTTCAAATTTTATTTACGCAAGCTAGTTCAAATATGATGAAAATTTTTTATTTTATAAATATATTTTATTTTTCTATTTTATTCTGTTAATCGAGAATTCTAATCTAATAGAATGATTCTAAGTGTATGCTACAAATTTTGAAGAATAGAATATAGAATAAAATAGTGGATAATTATTGAACAAAATTTTTTCTTAACAATATTTATATCTATAGAATTATTTATACCATTATAACCTCGATCTCAAATTATCAAGATCGTTATACATCATGATCAAACGAAAAAATGTCCTATTAATTATCTACTAACGAACTGATAAGTTCTGGTCGGTTGATAGCTCGTGTGTAGAAATGCACGGAATTCCAAAAGCTTTAATGAGAGTAGATGCTGAGGTTGATGGTAGATTAGCGGAGAATTATCACAGGAAGAACAAGGCAGAAGTTAATCGGCATCCTGCCTAATCAGTGACGATCGTCATTTACGGGAATTTTAATCGCTTCTTAAAAACTTTTCACAGAACTATGTTCTATAAAAATTTTTATAAAAATTATCGATTGTATAATTGAATTTTCTACAATGTGTGCATTCGAAGCATCTTTTCACGCAAATATTTATCCTTGTTATTATATCATCAATAATAATAGACAATAGAAAACTAACAAAAAAAAATTACAATATTTTTATAAAATACTAAAAATCATGTAGATAATATGCTTGTTAAAAATGCAAAATCAATTTTGATTCGGAAAAGAAAATATAATATTTTCAAACTACGATTGTACATTTGTCAAACATTTTCAATCTGTCCAAAACTCAATTTTTCGCACAAGGAAAATAAAGTGTAAACAGTAAATAGCACGTCAGACTATCAAGACGATTCGAACAGTTCGTTACAGACATTATGACCATGACTTTAGCGACTTTCTTCCCGATAAGATAAGATAGAACGCAATATGCATTAATAAAAAAAGTAACATTTCGTAACATAAAAAAAAAATCTTCACATACGATATAGCGCAAACTGATACGTGCCGTCACGCTTACGCGATGTATAAACGAAACATGCATTTCTGTTGAAAGAAACATTGTTTATTTTAAAAGTAATGTCAGTCTGCAAACATCGAGAATCGCGTTTGCACATCGTTAAATTCGTGATACTTGAAAACGGGATTTAAACCGCACTGAAAACAAGTTTCTTCAAAATTTGCCTGCGATCGGTTTCGCACGTGCGAGTGTTTATCGACAGTCCGCAAATTTGCAGACACCCCCGTCGGGTATGACCCGGAATTTCGCCCGCAATTTTCGACGGCAACAAAAAACATCACCCCGCTATACAAATTATGCAAAAGTGTTAGGTGCGCGAGACGTGATCGGTACGCGGTTTCGTGAACCGCAAATTTCAGGGTCTGCAGCACGATCGCGAATTTTCGATAATTTGAGGGTACAGCCATATCTTTTTGATCCTTGCAACAGTCCCTTTACCCCTTTCTAGCTGATCTATTCCCTTCTGACTGCCGTACACCTTCCAGCCATCACTGCGTCATCACAATGTTTTTATTTCATGAAACGCTTCGCATATTTCGCGCATCGAGTGTAACGGTGCTTCTCCGCGGTCACAGCAGATGCGCGAAAAACGGAATTAAAAGAATGAAAGAATTATAAACAGAAAGTGTCACCGATAATTTTTTATATTTTACCTCATATTACCTATTTGAATTGTAAATTTATGATTATAATTAATTCATGATTTAAATTAATGACACATATTAGACAGTCCTCAAAAGTTATTCAAAGTACGTCTATTTTTGTATTCTTTTAATATTTGCAAGTAAAAGAGAAAATTTTTGTACAAGTGCTTTGCCTTTTTTCCATCTGCACAAATTTTCTTACGATATATAGCATTTCCAGTAAAATGGGCGATCAGAAAAAAATATGCGGCCGCGTACTACGCTTCAAATTTCGTTGTCGCCTCAGACTGCGATTTATAGTGCATTGTTGAGTTATGCATCATTTCACATCTAAAGTTAGCATAGAAAAGTTTCAAGGTGACGAGCGCGCGAGTCTCATACAAGTACGCCCTTATCGATAAAACACCTATTTTCTCCGCGTTCGATATTTCAACGACTTGTCGATACTTCAAGGTGCTTCTCTTTATCGTCGACACTATCGGGATACACAGAGAAGGGGGATGACAAAGATTTTTTTCTTTGAGAAGATCTATTTTCTTCGCTTTATACATCTTTCGCGCCAGAATTATTATTCGCCAAGATTTAAAGCGGTGACTCGATAACTTTCACCTCCGGCAAAGAGCCGGAGCTCTTATTAACCGGGTTCGTCGACACGTTTCCTACGAGCTAAGAAGCGCGAGAGCGATTTTTCAATACGAGAAAACCGGAAAACGCAGCCGATTGCAAGACGTACGACGATGACCCCGGAATATCTAATCGCGTTTATAGTCGCTGACCCCTCAGAGCGGTAAATACTAAACAGATGTCAACTAAATTCATTCCGGGAGGCGCTCAATACTTGGCGCCGCGATAAATTCGCAGACGCCGCAAGGGCCATTAGGGATAGTTGAAACCGGGCGACCCGCTAATGAATGCCGCGAATAAGTACTGGTATTATTAACTCCGAGTGTCGGAGATCGATCGACTGCATCGCGACTGACACTCGGTGCTGCTGGTCTGAGTGAATGACGTGGTTTACAAAGAGAATATGTAAATCGCGAGATATTCTGGATTCAGTATATATGAGAATCAATAAAGCTTACAATTAATTGAATAGTGTTATTTTATATTTTGTTTTGTTATCAACATATATCGTTAATGGGTTAATTGTAAATGATGGCTCTTTGCTTTTTGTCATGGAGAAACAGTCCTTCGTGAAATAGCAAATATTTATTTATTATAATAATAACTCGTTAAAACATTGCTATTATTTTTCTTTCTACCTTATCGAGAAATCATCACTAACGCGAAATATAACTCGTCAATATAAATTTGTTATTAAACATATTATTGATGGGTTGCAAATGTTATACTTAATACATTAAAGTAATGCAAATTAAAATTTGTTTAAAAATAACTCATTGTCAACTGAAATACAGCATTAATTCCTCATTAAATACGTTAAAAAAATTATATTTTAATATATTACTGATAAATATTATTAATTTTTCATAATACATCAGCGTTTTCATATTATAGCAATGTTTCCATATAAAATACTATATTTAAAAGTCTTTTAATAATAATGATGTTAATTATGAAAATGACATAATTAATGAATTAAAGCTGTTATCATTATTAAAACGACTGTTCTTTCAGCCAGTAAATGATACCCGACGATAACTGCTTCTTTTATTATGTAAGAGATAAGTATTGCCAATGATACTTGAAATTAATTTTGCGCACACATGTGTGCGTCCAAGTGCTCCAAAATTCGACTTGTTGTGTAACGAAGACGTGACGATGACTTTTCGAGTGTGTGATTTATTCAGTTTGAAATCACTTTGAAATCGAGCGTTTTCACGTCGTGAAGCAATGGAAAAATCGACCGTTGAGAGATTTTCCAAGATTTTACGCTTGACCGGCATAATAATCGCGGTCTTTGGCCACGAAGTATAATTGGCAAATATCACCAGCCAAGAGTAACGCGAAACATGTACACCGAGTGCCGTGTGTGCATGTGCAAATAGCGTTGATACGTAAGTTGGCAATGTCCTCGAAAACTGAAATAGTTATGACTTGACTTGAAAGAAAAAGAACGATCTCCTAGACGAACTTATGTAATTATATTGAGTTTTAGCGACTACCAAATCTTTTCAGTACAAATAATGCAAATTTCTCGGACTCAAAATATTATTTCCTTGCTTTGCCAATTTTGTCAAATATTATAAATATTATAAAAGCATTCTCGCGATTTATATAAGTTTGATGTATGTTAAATAAGTAGATGCACATGATAATATCATCGAACCCATCATACTTGGTAAAGTATTTATGCGAATATTCGCAATATTCTATATCTGCTGTTTAAAATGCGCAACCTTCGAAGGGTATCTTTCAAAAATATACAAAGATCTGTGTAATTATCACACTAAAAAACATGTATGTAAATTTCAAGCAACCGTCTTATCACCCAACTACTTTTTTAAAAAATTGTTTTAATTAATTCAAGACATAAGAATTTTCAAAATTATTCGCACGATTTTATCTATAAAATAGTTATAATTTTTAACATTTTAAATTGCGATCCATTGTTACTCTATTCCAATTTTTTTTTTCACAAAGTTCAGTTCAAAATCTAATCTAATCTATCTAATTTATCATTTATATTTTACGCATATGAAATAACATTGACAACACCGAATCTGTATATTATTTGCAATGGCTTCAATGACTTTATTTAAAATATCGTTGTATTATTTCCAAAAGTAAAATGTGATAAGAGATTAAAACATTTTGTAATGATAATTATTAAATGTTGATCAAAAAAAGCAAACCTAATATAATTGTACACATTATAAATAATTTAATAATCGTAATTTTACACCAATATAATATAATATTTAATTTAAATTATAAAAATAGTATCTGTGATTTGCAACAATTAGTCTAATAACAAATTACATTTTGCTATTTTGCACCATTGAAAATTGAATTCAAGGAAAAACTGTGATTATCTTTTGCAATAATACGTCGTCGCTAAAGTGTCTTTTCTAAAATGTCGCAATCTGCTTCTCGTGTGATTCGAAGTGGAATAATCGTCAAACTGGCAAGCATACTTCAGATGTAAACACGAAAGGTCGCACGCTAATGTAAACATAAACGGCACGAGGCGTCGCGCGCGCGAGACACCAAGTCGAAGTACACAACGTCGTGTGCATGCATCGACCCGCGAATCTATAAGAATCAACCTAACGCTTATTCTTTCGCATGTTCGATATCTGTTGTAAGAAAAACAGAAAAGGTGTAGGTACTAACCTGGAGATCATGACAGCCGTTATCCCTGTGACTGGCAGCACGTATCACCCCCGCACGCCAACCCCACTCACTAATCTTATTCACCTTCAGCTTGGTGAAACCACTCACAGAGAGAAACCTCTTTCCCACGATCTCCTCGCGAAACTTGTACGCCATATTACGATCGGTAAACCGCGGCGTGCCGAATCCGCGACTTCGGATCGCCACAGCCGGGTTTGCCAGTCACCCTTTCCCTCTTACGTCCCCTTCCTCCCTCGTACCCCTCAAATGGACGCCCCCTGTCGCCCTTTGCCACTGTCTCTGCTTCTCTTCCGTCTTCTCTCTCTCTCTCTCTCTCTCTAGTTCACTTCACTCTCCCGCCCCCGGGCCCCTTGCTGTCACCGACCCGGTTTTTCCTTCTATCCTCCGAGGAGCGTGCCTCGCCCCCGAAAAGAAAAGAAAAACAACAACTAGCACACGCAATACACCGCGCACGAGGGAGGGGACGCGGCGGCGGCGGCGGACTCTTTCGCAAATGATCACTATTTCTCGATGGCACAAAGCATCACTCCGCGGCCGATCTCTTCCTGCCGCGATCACGAAGGGCTATCCAATAACAGGGCCATGAGGCGACGGCCGGTCACTCGTATCCTCTCTCTCTCCTCTCTCTTCCTTCACGCAACACAATACACAGCCACTCCTTGCGTCCGGACGCGCACGAGAGAGACTTCTCTCCGCGAAAAACGGCCGCGCCACACTCGTCGCGCGACTTCAAATGTGTTTCTCCCGCCCTCTCACTGTCCAGTGTGATCGCCGTTTGCGCGCCTTACTTCACGGTGTTTTCTCTTCGCTCTCCCGGCGCGCGCGTTTTTACGACGAGAGAGTTCGCGACTTCGCTTGTGCACGCGCGCTATTTTTTCTTACCTATCGATATATATCTCGACGATCGGCCCAGGCAGAGAGAAAGAGAGGTAGCGATCACGACGTCCCTCTTCTCTGTCCGCCAGCACTGTTGACGTCCGCGCGCAATGATCAACTGACCGGACACACTTTCAACTTCCGGGGTGCACACCCGGCTTAACACCGGACATGACGCACTACACAGTGGTTGACGATTACGGCAGCAATATCAACACCGCCAGCGCGGTAACGAAGGATTTCGAACGGTACCAGTGTAAACGTGAGAATGACACACACATGACCGGCCAGTGATATCGCGTAGCGCACACTGCGGGCGGACGGCAGGGAGGCGAAGCTCCTTCCCGCGGCCCGTGCACCCTCCCCTCTCCTACCCGTTTAGTTTGCTCCTCTCTCCACGACGCGGTCCGCCACTTCTCCTCCATGAACCGAGAGAACGAGCGGAGCTCTCTCTCCCCTCTTTTCAGTTCCCCACTTTATCTATAGCGTCGCGTTGTGTCGCGTCTCGCTTCGCCGCTATCCATCGCACGAGGGCGACACAAGAGTAGGTGCTTAGGGCCGTAGCACGAATCGCGAGGCGTGTGGCGGGTCGCGCGCTGCTAGTGCGAGAGAAACGCCGATGCCATCGCAAGATGAAAGAGGTTTAGAACGCCTGAGGAAATCGTCACCGCATGTGCATGACACGCACACCATGTATTTCACGCATATCAACTTTCATTGTACTCGTGGATCGACATAGTATTCTATACGTATAATCTCGGTTCTTTTTTCGGACATTTTTCACGAATTTTAATGATTTTTTCATTATAAATGAAAGCAAACTTGTCCATATATACTAGATATAACATCTAGATGTGATATTTGACCCGAAAAGTTTTAAAGCGTAAGGTATTATTAATTCCTGGTGTAAATAAATGTTAAAAGTAAGCCGATTTTACCCTGCTCCCCCTTTTTCAAGCTACAGTCCTGACATGTCACGTGACCAAAACACGCTGTGACGTCACAGGCGCAGCAAGCCAGCTGCCAGTTCAACATGGCTGACCTGTGAGTAACGGTGTTGCAGACGGTCATCCGCATTTAGTCGCTCGTTTCTAGCCGTTCGCGCGTGTTCCGTCGTGTCGCAAGACCCATTAATATGATATCCTCGATCATCTCGCGCCTCGTCATGTGAGTATCCGATCCGCTGATGTCCGATAACGGCGGAGAAGTGCCTAGTGTTGTAGAGTCAATTGTGCACCCGGGCCATCGCCATCGTTCGTTATTCAATTCGCAAGAATCTATGCGTCTGCTGCAGAGTTTATTTTTACTCATGCGGCAGCTCTCTCACGTGTCGTGCAGTGTTTCGTCGAGATGCGCGTTGCTCCAATTTTCGCGCATAGTGATTCCATCGCTCACTTGGTTTCAGTCGCTCGCTCGATCGGTGGTCTCTGTCTCTATAGAGATATACGTATATACATACATCTATTTCTCTTTCTCTCTCTGTCTCTCTTTCACTTGCTCCGGACAATCCGCTATCGTGACAAGAAGAACAAAATACGAAAAGGTTGGAAATGTCGAATACGTCCAGCTGATGAGATGTCAACAGATTCGTCGTTGAATGATCATCGGTGAATCTTTATTTATTTTTCGTGGTGAAAGATATCGCGTCCAGATATCGAAGAGCGACATTCCCATGTTTGGAAGAATCCTCCGTAGCGAACACGAAGCAATGTCGCAAGAGGCCGGAGAAAATTAAATCGGCGGTGCAAAAGGAGAGAGAGCGCACATCGTCGACGGAATCCGAAGTTGCAAAGGTAAGGATCAATGTCACTAACACTCGAGTCGATGCGCAGTAGAGAGTCGGTTAACGTGGCGAAGAATCACCGCGAAAATACGAAGGCAAGACCTCGCGCAACACGAGAATATCGAAGGGAAAGAAATAAATGCTTAATTTCGTTAATTTACGCATCGTTGAGTCAGCGCGAGAGTGAAAGCGAATGCGTCTTGCAATAGTCTGTCATGGCAAGGACGTAACGTAACCTAATATAACATTCTCGTCTATGTAGTAACTTGACGTACGCAGATGTTACAACATGAAGCGTGATTATCAGGAATATTACATCCGCTTGCGAAAATCGGAGTAGCGTGTGCGATGTAAGGAACTCTTGTCCATAGAAACATCAAATATTTTTTCATAAATATTGCACATGGCAAAAATTTTATAAATTTCTTTTATATATATATATATTTTAATAGTCTTATCAATGACAATTTTTTATCTATATGGTCTACATAAGCAAAATATTTTCAATATTTAAGATATTTTCTTGTGACACACGATCAAACTTTTAAAAAACATAGACGTCCTCGTAATAGCAAAATAAGCGAGTATTTTTGTTTGGAGCGAACCGAACGTCGGAGCCAGGCAACTGTGCGCGCGATAAGCAAACGACGCGTCTCGCGCCGTCAGCTGATCCGAAAGCTACGTCACACAATGGCGTGGGTCATTGCACTCTTCGAGCTCCCTTGCTAAGAGGCACGTTTTGTTTACGCGTTGTCCGGCGGCGCTCACGGCAAAGACATGTACGCGCGTGCGACAATATGCGTGAACGTCCGTTCTGATCTCTTGTCGGCGGCGTGTGACTCACAACCGCACGCCGCATTTGACGATAAATTAGAACGAAACGGAGAAACGTCGATTTGAGATCTGGCACAAGGTAAACCATCATGACGATCGACAAATAAGGATTTATTCGCGGAATTTGCGGGTTTTTTTCGTACGATGTACAAAGTGCAAGTAAACACTGCAGATGATGTTAAAGAAATAAAAGAAAGGAAATAAACGTAATAATTCTCAATCTTTTACCAGATTTAGTGATAAAGCTGTGACAACTTTAAAATAGCTTTATAATCGTTATGATACATAACATAATAGAAAATTTATTATTCAGTATTTAAATATATATTTCTATTTTAATTTTTAATTGTGAAATAAGACAGAATAGAGAAAGGATAAAATATTTTTGAAAAGTTATACGAATTAATTTTACCACTATGAGTTTACTCGTTTGACATTAAATTTCAAGTTAAAAGTCAGAATAAAAGATAATGCAAAGTGAAGATGTAACACATGCAACACTTTTGATTCACACGTTTGAAATATTCTTCTAACTGAAGTATTTTCGAGTAAAGTATGAAAAGTGCTTCGTGAAAAGTGCATCCTGTTTATCAAATGCATCTCCGCTATTCCATGCTATAACTAGCGTGTGTATACATTTTCTTTAGTGCATATTTCATTACGTTTTATCTATATTTGTGTACGTTTTATGTGACTGTAAAAAATTTGAAAGCTTTTTTTGTTAGAATGTATGAAAGAGATCTTAAAAGCACAGGTACACGTTTGAGTAACAATTTCATTAAGTCATCTTAAATTAATTTTTGTTACTTATTTAATTTTCAATTTTCTTAATTAAAAGATTAAGCTTCAAAAGCTCATCATAGTCAACGAATATTTTTTCATTCTTTAAAATCCAAATCGGAGCTTTTGCTTCAAAATTATCTTTCATAAAATTCGATTTCGATAGCTTTGTGAAAATTAAGAATTTGTAAACAGAAACCATTTTCAGAAAGAGAAAGAGAGAGAGAGAGAGAGAGAAAGTTAAACCTCTCTCGACTTACTCTTCTGTGCATCAAATGAGCACATCTCGATTGGCATGGAAATAGCACTCGACATCGAATAAGTCTGTGTCTCTGAGCTACAATGGCCCACATTCGCCGTTACTTTTATATTTCCGTGCTCTTTCCACATCTCGTACTCCCGCAAATCCTTTCAGCAAGGAAGCTACTGGCGGAAGGAAATGAGTGCACTGAGAGAGAGAGAAAGAGAGATGCTTCTTGGTACACCGAGAAGAAACTTGGTCGCTCGTTGGATCGATGCCCGGTTGGCAACAGAAGGGTGGTACTTCGTCGGTGTACTTCGTCAGTGTACGAAGGGCGTTCATGTACGATACTATACAGGGTGTCTCGTCATCATTGTGTAAAAACTTTCTTTTTAATAAGATTGTTTTTTGTATACTTGGAACTAGTTTTATCTCTGCGGTAATTTATTATTTCTTTACTGAAAGAGGACTTTACCTTTTGAATATATATTTTAAATCAAATAAAATTATATTAAGATAAGGTAAGATGGTTTTTATAGAAATGTTTTTTAAAGAAAGATGAATATGACAATTGAAGACCTTTAAATGGAGTCTATAATATACAAATCTGCTTTAGATATAATTTTATATTTAAATTGGATTTTGCAGACGACTGACTTTTTAATTCACTTTTATTTTGAATCTAACGATTATCTAGATATCAATTTTTTTATATTATATCTCCATTTTTTTGACAGAAAATCTATTTTTTCTAATTAATTTCAATTAAACTGCATTTTCACAGAGATTTATTCGAATTTTAAATGTCAAGCTTTAATGTCCAAAAAATTAAATTTATTTTATTTATTTTTAAAATATGTAGTTGAGCATTTAAAATTTTACATATGCAAGTTAAATAAGCATTTAAAAAGTAATTAAAATAAATACACACGAGAAACTTGCAATAAATAACAGAATGTTTGCTATAGAATTTTTGCTAATAAAGTAACGATTCTTGAAAATATTTTTCAATGACACGTTATGACACCCCGTATGTATGTATTTGCATCTCTCTTTCTCGGATGTACATCTACGGAAAAGCTCCTAACACCGGCGCGAATCAATATTCCGTATACCCTCGCATAGAAGATCGCGTTAACCTTTCTCGCCCTCACATAACCCCGTCACGGCGCCCCCGTCGTCTACTCGACCATCGCGTGGAGGACGGCGGGAACTTGTTTAGCTCTCCCTTCGACCCCGTCCTACCTCTCTCATCGAGTCTGCGAGAGCAAAATAACGAAGGGGCGCCGCGTATATTTACGTCGGGTGAAGCAAGATTCTTTAACATCGGCCTAAGTCGCAGAAATGTTATTTTTATTTGTAGGATTTGCACTCAACGCTAAAATTAGAAAGGAGCTTGATACGTCATGGCATCGTTCTACGGAGGAACATTTCGTCTATTTTTCGTGCAGATATTGTTTAGGCCAAAATTTAAACTATTCAAATTTTATTATTAACATTTTTCTATTTGTGCCACGCCGTAAACTACGAAACTTTATCAGATTTATATAATAATGACCATTGCAAGAGTTACAAGTACACGGAAACAAACGCACACACAATGTACAAGATAAATGAGACTATTATATCACTTAACTAAGTCGCATTATCATACATAAATTATGATTTTCAAGCGTAAACTTTACGCTCGCTCGCCGGACATCGTTGAACTCGTAACCTGCATTCTACATTTATTTTCACGTTGCATATCAGGAATAACGACCGCATTATTATCACACGCACTGTATCCGGTCGTGCGGCGATTGTTGAAGTCGCACGAATACGCAACCAGCGTAATACAGAAAACCATATCCATGTGCCTGTATGTCAGGAATCTGAAAAAATTCTACGGTCATAAAACTGATTAAATCTATTTTATTAGGAGAGCGATTTCACACACGTATGTATATACGCGCGCACGATGCGTTTTCGCAACGAAGAAAAATCCGCATGAAAAAGTCTTGGGTATGTAAAAAGTAACAATGTTGGAAAAAAAGAGAAAAATAATAGAGAGAGAGAGAGAAATTGGAAAAATAATTGCGTGCGCGCATGTGTGTGTCGATAATGTTTGACAACCGGTTCCGAGATTCTCAGAGTAGCCTCGTGACATCATTACCCTCATTAGAATAATTGAAAATGCCGCTCGTTAATTACGAGACACAAAAGTCCTCCGGTGTAATTTTTTATCACTGTCTCCGACGTCGAATCCGCAAACTCAGGCTTCCGTTCTGAAAATAAGAAGGAAATTTCAACAGGATTTTGTCGTCCTATTAATTATGATGATCTTTAGCTTCTCAGCATCCTGGGAACGGAAAAAGTTTGAACCTTTATTACGATCAATGCAATTCTTCGTATTTTCACGAAAGAAAAAGCAAATTAGAGAAATAGAAATCTAATTAAATCGTCGTATGCTAATTGTGAGTACTGTTTGTAACAAATAATATGGCAAGAGAAGAATGAAAATAAATTTTAGGAACAGAAGGAAGACTT